TCTTCTGATCACACTTCTACAGTGACAGGTTCCAATGGGTTGACTTAGCTTCTAACAGAAGAGGAAGTTAGAGCCTCGAGGACCCTCTGTGTGTTTGTGACACCACACGTCACCCTGCACAGATTCTCTGGCGCTCAAATTGCCTCCAAGGCCCAGCTGCCCCACGGCCATGGACCTGAGCCCTAAGGCTGCTCTGCAACGCCAGGAGCTGGTGCTGGGATGCATCATGGGGCTCTATTCCACACCAGTGACTAAAGTCTTCCAGAGTCACTTCTGCACCTCTGGCACAAGCAATGTGCAAGGCAGCCAACACAACACAACCACCACCAACACAACCACCATGCCACACCACCACAAACAGAAGAATCTGCACTTGCAGACGTGAAAATGTGATATTCTTTTGGGTGGTCTTGGTCTCTGTCTTGATAAAGAAAGAAACACAAGGTAATTTTAAGGAAGTGTTTATTACAGTGACAGGAAGACTGGATAGAAACACAGGCCTGGACACAGTGACCCTACTGCCCCCTGTAGGACAGACAGGAGGACATGGTCCTGTGAGAAGCAGGACTGAGCTTGCAGATGGGGACAGCAGCCAGGACCCCCACGTGGCAGCTCCTGCATGCTGGGCCCCAGTTAGTGTACATACACTGGTGCAGACAGATTTTGTAACCTGTGTCAGTGCATTTGCATATGGGTACTGTAGAAGCATTATTTAAGTCTCTTGCTCTGAATCTCTCATTTTTAGAAATTAAAGGTCCTGGTTGTTAGTGGTGTTGGGTGTTAATAAAGCATTAATAAAACTCCTGCTTCGTAAAACCAGGATTGTGCCATTTCTAATTTCCCTTAGATGGTGGCATCATAAATATTTTTTCAGGGGTTTAAGACTGGCTTTGCTCAGTATAGCGACTATTAAAACCTACTGCTGAGAAGGGAAACAGTGAGATCTAACTATGAAAATAGTACAGCATGTTTCAACAATCAGTCCAGAGCTGGAGTGCACAAGCAGGTTTTGGTTGTGAATCTCCCTCCCTTCTCGAGCATGCGAGCCTGGGCTGGTGGAACCCTTCCTTCAGGGGCTGTGTGCATCAGAAAATAAGCCCACTGCCAAAGTCACCAAGTCATTCATTTTGAAACTTGTCTCAAGTGGCTTTGGGCTGCTGTTTCCCAAGGGAGGGAAACACGCGTAGGTCTGTTCCCAAAAGCTTTCAGTTTCCTGGTCATTCATATCCAGGGCACGTCAGTCTATAAAGCATGACTGGCACGCACCTTCTGGCAAGGGCATGAGTTTTAGGAAACAAACAGCACAGCTTGGATTTCCTCGGAGGGGTCACACTTGGTGTTCACACTCCAGGCAAGCAGAAGCAGCCACTGAGTCCCTGGGAGCAGAGACCACACCGAATTGTAGGTTTGTCTCCCCACTCCGTCCTGGCACAGACTCAAGTGACTCTAGTGCTCAAAAAAGTGTTGGTTGATTTGAAGCGACTTGAAATTCTTAGCAAGAGCTAAGAATATCATATATTTAACGGTTCATTTGCTATAGATTAGGCAATATTTGTATTCATAATATATGCATATTGATAAGCCTAGAAGATTTTCTATAAATCAAAGAATGGTATGATATAAATCGCAGCAAGTAAATCAGATTGGTAACAGCCTTAATAGATGAGCACTTTACGTCAATTCCTATTTATATTGCTTCCCATATATTAGTTTTAGAATTCCTGCTAGACAAGCTCCTTTCTGGGAAAAGAACTGCAAAAGTGTGCAGTTAGCACGAGCCAACCCCATGTGAGACGCGGATCCCTCTCCCAGCCCACATCTCTCAGGCCAGTGAGCTCATCCTCCAGCTAACGACATTAGCCTGTGCTGTCACGCACAAGATCACACCGATCTGGCGACTGCAACACACCGTGGATCGCTCTTGGGCTAGCTGAGGACTGCAGGGAACGGTCCGCCGGCAGCATCTCACGCTGTGGGGTGAGACTTACTGAGACCACTGGTCTGAATTAGGGCGTCCACTGACATAGAACATACTCTCCTAACAAATCAAATGTGCTGAAACTTTTGATTACGTATGCTGAAGCCAGACTAAAGTGTACGTCATGTTGGCTTTAATGTTGTTCATTATATAACCCAAGGATTGAAAAGATGGAAGCAAATCCAAAGCACTGTTCAGTTTGTATCTGTGGACTGGCATTTCTTGTTCAAAATATTAGCAGAAAATAAGGTGGAGGGATAGAAAATGATTTAGGCCAGTGGCGGTGAAGCTATGGCACGTGTGCCACAGCGGGCGGTTCGCATCACTGAGAGCTCTAAAAGGTTCGCCGTCCCTGACATGGGTGATCCTTTTCCAGAAGAATGTGGATACTTTCCATCAGCAATCGTGCATTCAGTGCACTCTGGCTAGAACATCAGCAAGTCCACTGCAGACCAAGGGCAGAACTGCTGCCCATGGGAGGTGGGTGGCAGGACTGGAATTCCGTACCTGGGACACCCGGGCGTCTGCAGTGCGACCCACTCAGCACACCTTGCAGGAGCACATCTTTGCGATCCAGGAATGGTGTCTGGGCTCACCTAGAGAGAAAGCAGGTACCTGGGTTATACAGAGGAACCCAGGAAGAAGGAAGGAGACAGGAGGGAGGACACAGGAGGGAGGGGAAGGCCAAGGGAGAAGGGGAGAGTGGAGGAAGGAATGGCCTGTATGTCCATATTTTCGTCTATACCGAAATAAAATGTGAGTAGAAGCAACAGTCTTATGAACTGGGCAAACGCGATGTAACTGTGTGCATGATTCAGGTTTTTTAACTGCCAAGGAAGATGAATGTTTCTAACAAGAGGAATTTGGTACGAAATTAGTAAATTTCCATAAACTTCAAGCAGCTTTATTTTTCTTAGAGAAACCTTAACTGCAGCGTTCGGGTCAAGCCTCATAAATTAGTTGAAGTAGGATTTGAGTAGTAGAATTAAAAAGCATTTAGTCCTGGGGCTACTTCGATGATTGTTCTTGAGGCTAAAAATGTGTGATTAAAATTCATTTGCCTATCAAACCCTCTGGAGCCTTGTGCCTTCACGAGCTACTTCTATATTAATGCTGTAACCCTGACTACTAACGCCCCTCCTCCTGGCAGAAGTCAAAAAGCTGACTTTTTGATTTAAACTGATGTTGTGTACTAAATGCGCGTGTGCATGGGAGCCCGTGCCTGCGTGTGTGAATTACCAGTAATTTTAATTCCTTTAAAAATTTTACATCAATGCTTCCATTTCCCCTTTGGGCAAATTAATCAAAATATTGATGCTGTGAAATGCAGCCCGAAGAGAATGCTCACTCTGCTCCGGAGATGGCTCTTGCTTCTCGAAGGCCGCAACAGGTGCATCCTGGACACCATGATGGATGCGGCTCCCCGCCACCGGCCCGGCCCGGCCCGACTCTGCCTGACTTCGCCTTGCCTGGTTTCTGCTGTGATTCATGAGCCAGAACAGTGAAGGGAAAAAGCCTGCCTTGGCTGTTTCCAGTGTCTTCTCTGAAAACTGCAAAATCTAGTTTTGTTCATCAGATCCATGCAGATGTGGAATTGACCGACCGTGATGTATACGGATCTGCACGCCACATGTGCTGCACGAGCAGCACTGAAAGGCTCCTCGAGGGCAGCCGCACACGGATCACCAGCCACTTCGGAACAGGAAACTCGCAGGCACGCGTTTCTTCTCTGGGCCTTCGCGCTCTTGTGTCACTACGCTTTCAGCTGAGGTTACTGGAAGTGTTCTGTCCCCAGTGCACCAGGAAGCACAACTTTTACATTTCCAAGAAATGAGGAGGTAAAGCTTAAGACCTCTCATCAACACTTCACAGGAATGGGAAACTTCACATGCCACTGTGAGTGTGAAGGTGCAGCGTGCGGAACCCTTTTCAACAAATATTCTAGGGAATGGAGGCCGACCACGATTCCCTGTATAGGAGACGGTGAGCTGGAGTTACCTAGCAAAGACTCCACTGAACTATTTCCGTGGAAGTATTTTTCAGGTTCACAAGCAACCAGGTTCAAGAAGCCCAAAAAAGCAAGCCTAATGGCCCTAATATCACAAAAAAGGGAGGAGCTGGTCCACGCTGTTGCCTTTGCACTTCTATTACTGGACATCCAAGCTATTCCCACAGGTTCCTGGAACATAGAAATGCCAAGCAGCGAGCAGGCATCCTTCAGAGAGTCTAAGAGAGAAACTCCAGTCTGAGGCTCACCTGTGAGTCTGAACTGTTTGCTAATGAATTATTCTGAAGAAAAGATTCTACTGCAGGCTGCTTCTTGGGTCAGGCGGGACCACTGGGATCATGGGCAGGAGCAGGAGCAGGAAGAGCAGGAACACTCTGCCAGCCTTAATGGACTCTGATGCTCACCTGGGTATGCAGTGCGACCATAAAGAGCACCGGAGAGTGAGCGGGCAGAACTGTGCTCCCCAGCCTGCCCGAGGTGACCACAGCAGATTGAAGCCCCTTACATTTAAACAGGTCATCAGTCAGCGCGGGCTGGCAGGGTGGTCAGACTGCTCAGCATGCATGGCTTGCAAAGAACTCACCAAGCCAGGCTGATGACTATATTCACACATACATGCACACATGCGAACACACACACATGCATACACACATTCATGCGAAACACATAATGCAAACACACATGCACACCACACACAAATATGCATGACCACACCTGTGAACACGTGCACACAAATAGATTTACATGCACACCACACACATGCACACGTGAACCTACGTATGAACACACACGCATGAACACACACATACCACACACACATACAAGCACACATGCATGGACACACACCTGCACACATCTGAACACACATGCACACCATGCCCACATGTGTGGACACATGCACACACACAAATGCGCACATACATGTGAACACACATGCATGCATGCACATATTTGAAATTTTGATTTTTATTAAAAACAATCAGCCTTTAAAAAATATCAGCGTCAACTTTTTTCAAAATTTTCTACTTTAGTTTTTCTGTGCTTAAGTATCCTTGATTTCTGGATATGCAAATGAGTTGTATTAGCAACTGAAGTTCTAAGTGCTACACAAGATGGCTAGGGGACCACAAAGAAAAGCCTTTGTCTGGAAAGAACAGCATATGAAGTAATGCTGGTGAGCTGTGCTTGTGTGGAAAATGATCTCTCGTTTTCTGTATGCTGTGCCCTATTCATGTGAAATAATGTAATAAATATATAGTCATTTAACATTGCATAGCTAGAACTCTGTAAGGTCAATACTCTTTACAGCCAGAAGACTGACCACTTCAACTCTGTAAGTGGGGATCTTCACGTACATGAAAATGTTATAAGGAATTTCCAATGAGTGCTAATATTCTGGTTGGAAATGTTAAGAATGTTGCATTCAGATTTAAACCAGCCCCTTTCCATACAATGAATTACCAATGAACAAAATTGCAAGTTTTGGTTCTGTAGCACCCTTACTGGTTTGATGTCACCCTTGAAAATCCCCCAATTTGGTTTTTTCTTTTAACTACAACGGTTAATGTGTTCCAGACAAGCAGCACTCACACGTGGTCAGTTTAGATCCCTGATATTCTGAGGTTCACTTTGGGACACTGAAAAGTGAACAGCTACATTTTCACAGTTCCAGAAAGTCCTCTAGGTAACCAAATTCATTCCAGAAATACAAAACGTATCTTCCTCTGGGCTCCATTGTAAGAATGTTACCTACCACACGTCTTGACTTGAAGGAAATACTCTCTCATCAAAATCTTTCTTCCTAAACAAGCACCTCTTTCAGAAGTGTCTTAATTTCTTATCACAGAATTTTATCCACATGAGGAGCCATAAATAATTCATGTCACTGCCGCTTTGTTGTGCGTCCCTGAACTGCACTGAGCCGAAGGCTGACAGCTGTGTCAGGACCAGCACCAAAGATCTGACATGACAAGCGGCTAACAAGTTTCTTTTGGTCCCTTGTGGATGAAGACAATGGCCCAAAGTGCAGAAAGAAACGCTGAAACAAAATCAAACTGCTTCTTTCTTTTTACCTAAGTGTTTGCCATGAGCTGATTTTCAACCTACAGCCCTGGTCATTTTCGAGGATGGCCCAGCCCCCATTCCTCACACTCGCCTGGCCATTTACGCCTGGCCACGGATCAATATGAGCAATTCTTGGAGAAATACGATGTCTCCATGACAACCAAGCCACAAATTCTCGGTGGAAGGCAGTGAGACCAGTCCTGAAGCCTCCAGAGGTTTGCAGGCCTATAAGGCAAGATGTCTTAAAATTCAGGGATGGACAGAGGAAAGAGCTGGAGCGATTCATTCTTTATTACCAGCATGATGATGGCTGAGGCACGGGAGATGCTCACTCTGGAAGTTAGGGTGCATCTTTCTGTTTTGGGTATGTCCCTTTGTTTGCATCGGCCAGGCAGGGTTCGCTCTTGTCTGAATCTCACTGCAGTCTTGGGCCTGCACAGGGAGGAGGGAGATGCCTTCTCCTTCTGCAGAGGCCCAGAGCTGCTCTGCTCTTGTCAAAAGCAATGAACTCTAAGGCAAACACTTGCCTCCCGGATGTGACTGCCTGACAAAAGGGTTGACGGGAAACAGTTTATTAAGACACTGTGGAAACCTATGCAGAATGAGACAATCTGAGTCCAAACTAAAAGTAATTTAAATACAGCTTTTATCACAGATGCTGGACACCACCACTTGCACCCCTTGTCAGTGAGGTGAATCACACTTTCCTTCTGGCCGTGAGGGCAGAGATGGGTGAATCCCACAAGAGACTTTCCCTGGTCAGCAGTGAGGCCGTCTCTTGGGGCCGTGCACGCCGGGCAGAGGTGTGGCTGAGGCCGGGCACTGGAGTGGCCGCACCGTCTCTGGAGGAATCTGGTGTGGTTGGGGTCCGTGTGCGAAGCCGCCGACACTGGGCCTACGGGTTCCCGAGACCACGTTGGAGACCTGACACAGATTTCAGGCCACACCTCTCCCTGAAAATTAAATCTCAGGGAAGGAGCAGGGGACTGCTGACAGCTGGCGCCGTCAGGGAAGGATGCAGCATTTGGAAATCTCTTAACCAAGCTGACAGGCCGTGGAGAGGCCGGATCAAAGGCAGGAAACAGGCGAGCACAGAGGCCGAGAGAGGCCTGACCAAGGGCCAGATGCAGTGGGGCAGCAGCAGCCCCTCGTGGCTCAGCGTCCAGTGATAAGGGACCTCCTGGCACCAGGGCTCTGGCGCGACCCCAAATGTCGGGCAGCATGTACGAGACTCTCCTTTAGCTGACTGATCATTAAGATGAGGCAAGTGTAAAACACACCAAAACCGGAAGCAAAGACGCCTGCTCAAGTGCGTCTGGCAGGACCTTCCGCAAGTGGCAGTGACACCGTGCACAGCTGCGTGCGTGAGGCAGCGTTGCCACCTTGTGTCTGTTGGACAGCACACTGCGTCCCGCTGCTGCCCCTTCCAGGAGGCCCACTGGTGCTCAGTGAGGGCCAGGCTGCGCGCCCCGCCCACCTCCCCGGGGTGGGTGCCCCACTTTCCAGTCTCTTTATCTGAAGTATTTAAAATGTCAACTTCTCTGGTTCCCAGTCTCCACACGTTCAGCCTAAAATGGACGACAATGAACTAATCGCGAGAGCAGCTCTCGGCCACCGGCCTTGGTCCTCCTCCGACTGATTTCCTGAGGAAAGTGGGAGACAACTGCTCCGCACCATGACCTCTGGAGGTGACCATTAATTTGACAGTGCAGCTGCTAAGAGAAAACAGCACTACAGCCCCCAGGCCCCAAATCAGTGTCAGAGTCATCATTTCATACTCGACTGTTTGTAAACGGCTTTCACCTGGATTCTCAGATCCTTCCAGGACGCATCTGTCAGGTGCAGCCTCCGAGCCCTGGAAGTGGGCCACCTCTGAGCTGCTGTCATGCTCCGTAGGACCCACGGCAACTATTGAGAGGAGAGAGAGAGAGCGAGAGAGAGAGGTGAGGAAGCGCAGCAAGCTTCACCACAGTCCCACTGATACTTCCAGGGACACACTACGTAAACACAAATAATAAATTGAAATAAAATGTATCCTCTAAGTATTTATTGGCAGACGCGTAATTAGTTGAAAAATCCATAGACGTGACTTTATCTTAGAAGAAAAATAAGTCCATGGCATCAGCTAAAAGCTACAAAGTAACAAAGTGATGCCTTGGAAGTAGAAATCGTATTTTTAAAGCATAAATCTAAAACAATATAGTCAATTCACAGCAGCAGTGCGCAGAGAGGACACCAGGCGGCTCAATTAGAGGCTCCACTCCTGGCCGGAGAGGACTCCCCCGGCCACCCAAGTCGCAGCTGATGACACTCTGCGTGTGCTTCAGTCCTCTTCTGTGGAATTAAAAATGACGATACAAACACCAAGAGAAAGCGTTAAAAATAAATCTTAAAACAGAACGACCACACTAAAAATAGGGAGCGCTGGGATTTAACAGTAGGTCTTCGGACGACTGGTCATTAGATATTATTTTTTAAGTAGAAAGATTGAGCAGAGAGAGGCGTGGGCCCAGGAGTCTGAGCGCGTGGAACCCAGGCTGTGTGCGGGAAAACACACTGGCGTCCCCACGCCTCCACGAGCTTAGCTCTCGGCATATCCATCGCACGCGTAACACACTCCCACACTGCGTGTCATAGCAGTCGTGTTTCAGGAGAGGTGGAAAAGGAAAATTAAGCAGACTCTAGTACAGCCCACTTACTTGTTTGAAGCCGGGTGCGTTAATATCATGAGGAACGCACACGTGTGTGCACGGACATGACCAGTCTCAGGACCTCACCGACTCACACCATGTGGATCCCCATGAGCGCGACACCCAGCACATGTAGCCGTGTCCCACCAGGGAGCATCTGTTGGTGTGCAGGACCGCAGTTCCGACCCTCCAGGAAGGAGGGCAGGGCATGGCACTGGGCCCCCGGCCACCCTCCTGTGGTGTCCTGAAGCCCTCTGAGGACCTTGGCAGTCACGGGGCGAGCCTGCACCCGTGAGTCAGAGGAGACCGTGAGGGGACGCTGGCCTGAGGCCTCTCCTCCACCCGCCAGGCCCTCAGGATGCAGGGTGCTTCTCTGCCCCGTGGAAGTGCGAGCACGGTTTAAACATACCACTTCTTTAAAATCCTGTGTTCAGAATCAAAATGTGGGAATTGTATGAAATTCTTATTTTAGATAAATGAACCTTATATCTTCATTCTGCACAGGTGAAAATTTTTGAAAACTAGAACAGTAGAGACACCACACATGGTTCCCTGGTGACCCCATGCCCTGTGTGTAGCAGCACCTGTCACAGGAAATCCCCTTGGAGGATTTGAGGGACGAAGGCACCAAACTCCATGGCCCTGGACCCAGAGGACATGGCCTCTGGTCACCTTTGTGCAGTCTCGGAGACCACGCTGGATTTGCCAGCACTGATGGGGGTCTGGAGAGGTGTGGATGGGCCACGCGACCTCCTCCGGAATGGCCTTTGCCTTCCTCAGTGTAAACCACACTTATAGATCACTTTTGAATCCATAGGTTTAAGGGAAACATTTAAAATGCAACAGTTAAACACATCAATGCCACCAAAAGCTATTATACTGGGCAACATTTCCAAGTCTGTTTCAAGTGCATGTATCTGTGTATATCTTGCTTGTTAATTTTCTGAAGTATTAACACTGGTATTTATAATAAGGAATCGATCCCTTAGCTAAATCTTTTCCTAAAGGTCACTTATTAGGGCAAATGCACAGTGCCTGCCACCCAATGTACTGTGCCTTCCTAGTTTAGCACTTCCGTGCTTCCTTCCTTAGTCCAGCCTCCAACAGACATTTATATTTACCAGGCATCACATGTTTGAAGCATCTTCTGTGAATCCGAGACCTTAAAGGACAAGGCTATGGACAGAGGTGCCAAGAACAATTCAATGCCCGTCTGTGATCGTCTGCAGTGGCAGTAAGGTGACCTGGATGAAATGACAGCCAGATCCCTCAGGAAAGCTGTAGAGTTAGGTGTGGCTCCAGCTGCACATCTCTCATCTGGAAACTGGTTTGTGTGAGTGGGCGGGGAAGCGGAGGGGTAATTCAATGCCAAACTTGAAGCCATGTAAACTTTGTTGATTTGCTGGGCAGACCGGGAGTGGCTGGTTAGTTGTCCTGCAGAAGCGATGCCTCCTCGGTTTCGCCCTGGAGCAGCGGACTTTGGAGAGGCTCATTTCCAGCCTCTCCTTGGTGCTGTCTACCAAGGACAGGGGACAAGCGCAGGGGAGGCCTGGCAGCTGTTCTTCTAGGTGCTTCCTGGGATGCTGCACCACTAAACCCTGACATGATGTGTGACCAGGGCTTCTCTAGTGAATCACTCCAGAAATGGTGACACCAATGAATATTGATCGGGGGCAGAGCTCTCAGCCAGACCAGGAGGAGGAAGGAAGAAAGCGCTTTAACATGCCCTCATACGCCTTGCCATTTAGCAGACACAGCAACGGGACCTGCAGGAGCAGGGACACCGCATCGAAGAGCAGTGTGTGCTTTAGGGCACGGAGGATGCTGCTTCTGCAGGAAGATGGGCAGAGGTGAAACTGGAATCAGCCCTTAACAAGAGGAGGAAAACCCAAAGGGAGCTTATGCACACCCAAGGAGCGGTGTGAGCACGGAGCCTGTGCCCCAGCTGTGTTCGTGCGTGGTGCTGCCTGCCTGGTTCATGTTTGTAACGAATTCTCCTCACTGGTCTCTTTGAGCTCTTCCTGAATTGCTGTTGTTGGCCAATTCTTCTCACCTGGAAAGTTTTTCCTTGCCCCAGATAGTCAATGATTCGATCTTACTGATGGTTGGCCCATTTATCACAGTAAGTTGTCCTTTTACTATACATATTGACTTTTGTTTATTGATACCAAAGTCCATTTGTAGCTCATCCCTGAAGTTCCTGGGTATTTTCAGGAGTTTCTGAAGCTGCATTTCAGAGCTGCAGTGATCAGCGCAGGCCAAGTGGCTGCCAGCTCCCCCTCAACTTTAAGCCAGCTGTTGGTTCCTCTGTGTGGGTTCTGCGCGAGTCTGACCAGGAGGGCAGGGACCACACGACAGACTTGTCGACAGTCCCACCGCTGACACACAGCCGCGAGGCTGCTCCATTTACCCACCCTGCCTCCCAAATCACTGACAGCTGAATTTCTCCGCCGTATCTCAGTGGCGAGACAGAGGGGAGTCAGGCCTCTTTGTGTACCATGGCTGGCGAGGCACCTTTAAGCAAGAGTGTGAGTGCCCCAGGTCCTACAGAAGTGGGGTCCAGCCAAGGCCAATAAGAAATCACGATTTGGAAACTACACATAGGATGTTTTAAGAGCGACCCCGGAGACTACACAAGGGAGGTTCCATAGCAGGGTTTCTTGTTTTAAAACTGGTGGTGTCAGACTCTCGTCTTCTGTTCTGGCTTCAGTCATCCCGCAAGCCCGCCTTCCTCAATATTTGCTGCTGAAGGTGGCAGGAATAAGCCAGGAAACAACTGTAAGAAACACTTCCTACCCTCAACAGGAGAACTGCACTCGGGCAATGTCCCCACCAGCCCAACCAATCAATAGCAGGCGACCTGCTGCCAGAGGCCACCACTGTCCCAACAGAGCCGGAGCTGAGCGTCCACAGCATCGGCAGGGTGAGTGAAACCTGCAGCTGCACACGATGCTTTCTTATGACGACATGACCATGTAAAGAGAGGTCCTCTGGGCTCATGTACAGGCTTTTTGGAAGTAAGGAGGATATTTATCAAAAAATCATTAATAACAAGATAGGACAGTTTGAAATGCTGGTCAGCTGAATGGACTCAACCAGGGTGGCAGCAGACAAAGGCCACACAAGAACCTTGACTATGGATTAATCAAGGACATAAAGGTAAGGTACAGGTCACAGTTGTCAGGGCCACGCGACAGAGGACCTGGGTTCAAATCTACCCACTCGACAAGGTGGCAAGAGGCAATCACTTCCTGCTCCATAATCAGGGTCACCTCTCAGTCTGAAGGAGTCACCAAGAAATAAGCTCAAAAACATCTTCTCAGAGGCTTGAAAGAAAAAATGGCACAAAATATAGGTGAAAGTAGATACTACTGTGAGAATGGCAGATCACAAAACACCTGTGATGTATTTTAAACAAGGAGGCAGAATCCGTGAAAAGACTTCAGGTCATAACACCGAGTTTGTAAACCAAGAGGATCTCACTGCATGGACCCCAAGTCCAGTTTGCAAACTGGCTTCTCTCTGGACAGATGTCTTATCAGGGAAGCATATCTGGCTAAGAGCTGTGTACATATTACCCCAACTTTAAAGAGTGTCTGCGGAGATAATCAAGCAGCAGGACCTCTTGATTATATTTAAATAGCAATCACTACATCCCACACCAGATGCCTGGCTGAATTTGTCTTCAGCATGGACTACACACTGCCAAAAATTAAATTAGGTGCCTAAGGGTTCTATATAACTAAGTAACAACTTTCACAGACAAGTTTAGCAAGAGGGGTTAGCAGGACACGCAGGTCTTTCTGCTGTCTTCCTGCTATTGTAATCTGATCTGGAATGTTAGTTTTTGGGTAATATTTCTATGATGAATTGACATTTTCAACTAGTAAAAGAAATTTTGCAGAATGCTGTGAAAAATAACTATTGGTGGTTATCTCTACCTAGATGTACAGAACTTATTATTTTATTTTAATGCACACACAGAGACAGGATCGAATTCCTGATGAAGGAGCTAAAGAAAAACCCTACCTGTAGCTTCTGCAGGTGCGCAGAGTGTCTGGGTCACCCAGCTCCTTTGAGGGAAGGTCCAGCGTGACAGAGATGGGTGTGAGTTGTGTGACGAGTGCTCTTAAACACTGCTCCCTTCCTCTCAAATACAGAGGCTCCCGATTCCGGGTGTTTGAGAACGAGCCTCACAGCGAGCTGAGGAGCGAGACC